CAAAGGCGAAGGAGCTGGCGGGGACGAGCAGCTCGGAGAGTAGCCCGGAGGAGGAGGAGAGGAAGGTACTGCCACCCCGGGGAGAAGGGAGAGCCGCCTGCAGAGCTTCCCGGTCGGGTCTCTGTCCCGAGGGCAGATGACGCCTTTCCGCCCGCACCGCGGGGCAGGATAGGGGCCCGGCGGCGCCCCTTCTCCCCACCACCGGCAGCAGAGGCCCCTGGCAGTCTCAGTGTGCCCCGTGGCATGCCTGCCGTGAAACTGGTGTGCTGTGGAGGCTCGGGTACGGCCCAGGAGAAGGGCTGTGGCTCCACAGACCAGGCTATTCAAACTGGTGATCTCTCTTTCTAGAAAAGAAAGAAAGAAATGTCTTCTAAGTCAGAGAAAAGGCTGAAAACAGACCAAACTTTCAAAGGTGACAGAAAAACCTCTGGGACGAGGCAGTGAAGAGGAGGGCATGTTCCAGGTATGGAGGGCAGGGATCTGCTCTAGGAACACACCTTCCTCCTCTTTATACAGGTTTCCCCTTTACGTATTTGTAGCTCAGCTGGCTGCCTGGGGTGCCGGCTGTCCTGTCACTAGTCCTCTGGCATGTCAAGTGACCCAACAGGCCCTGCAGGCTGAGGAGGCAGGGCTGGGTTTAACGCAGGCTCTGTGTCGTGGCAGATTGGGAAGATGTGTTACGTCAGAGTATCCTGCTTCAAGGGGAAGGTGCTCCTGGACATCAGGGAGTTCTATGCCGACAAGGAGGGTGGCATGAAACTGGGGAGGAAAGGTACAACTGCATTCACAAGGTGGTGGCCAGGGCCCTCTCTGCCTCAGCTGCTCCAGCTTGGCCCATTTTCCTCAGTGGCAGGGAGACCTGTGCATGCCTCACTGAGGGACTGGCGAGCTGAGCAAACCACACAGGACAGTCTAGCGCTTTCTCAGCCTGGGTGGCAACAACTGAAGAAAGGCACAAGGAATGACTGAGTATGAGCCTCCAGTGAGATCTGGAACTTGACAGGACCGCTCCGAGAAGCAGTGCAGGAAGCTGCTGTGCAGGACTCTGTTTCTACCTCTGATCACCAGTCCTTTCTCTGGCTGTTGGCAGGGGCAGAGCTGCAAGGTGGAGGAGGGGAGGCTGAAAACAGTGGCTCTGATGTTTCCTTGTGTCCTACTGTTAGCTCGAAAACTTGTGTTTTGGTACTGGTGATGCCTAGGGCAAAAAGGTGGCATTTTGTGTGTTTGCCCCTAATCTGTAATGGTGGGGCTGTGCTTGGCAGGGAGGGCCTCCCAGAAGTAAATCCATCCTTCCCTATCTAGGCAGGGACAGGAAGGTTAAGACCCTTCTGGGTCCCTACTGAGACACTCCAGTCCTGCTGTGTTAGGTATTCCTTATTCTTCTGGCAAGGTGCCTGATGATGTGATACAGTGGCACAACTTGGGTGGCTCATCACAGCAGAACTACTTGAGTAGGTGATGCAAGCAAAGGCTGCTGGAGAAGCAAAGACACTTTTTTTTCTCCAGAGCTCTTCAACTGATGAGTCAACACTCAACTTAGGCCTTTTGCTTTGGGACTTTGACAGTGACTTGCCAGCTTGTCTCGTAGTTCACAGGCCCTGGACTTTTTTCACCTGTCCTGTGTGGTGTGCCCATTCAGTTAATGTGGGGTTTCTTGAGGAACCTTTTGGTCCTTGCTATAGATTTTTGTGTCAGGGCAGATGAATTTGTTTCAGCTTAATTTGCTTTATAATGCTAAGCATGGTTTTCCTTCCAGAAATTAATTTCCTTCAGAGAAGTTACAGGTTATTCACTTAGAGGGAACTGTGTACCCTGTAATGAAAATGGGAAGCAAAGCCCTCAAGCTTTTCTATGCCATTAGGGGCAGAGAGGGAAAGGAGCATTGTGGACTCCTTCCAGCCTGGAAAATGCACACCCACAATGTAAGACAGAAGATCTGCCAGTTAAAACAGAGATCATAAAGAATTTTTTATCTTTATCTAGAGAATTTAATAAGGCTTGGGCCCTAGTTCTTTAATGTGATTCTTAACAAAGCCAAAAGGAACAAGCTGACATCTGGCTGGAACCCATGTAGCAATTCCACTACCATGTTTGTTTTGTAAGGGAGAGGGACAGGACATGAAGACCTATCTCTGCTGGATCAAAAAAGAAGCCACTTCTTTCTAGTGTTTAAGCCACCCTAGTGATTTCTTGTTAGTGGCTTTTTTTTTTTTTTTTTTATTTAGAGCTAGAATTGGCATTATTTCCTTTGGGCAGTTGAAAGGATGGTGTCCTAACTGCTGTGTGAAGTAAGCAAACTCTAGAATTTCTTCCCAGCTCATATGGGTGGGAATTTGTACTAGGTAATAGGCTATAAGGGGCTGTGGGACTCTTGAAAGGCAATTTGAACTTATATTCTCATATGGTGTTTCTGTGATAGCATTGAGTACTTCTTGATATGGATGCTGAAGTGCTGGCACAACTGCCACGCTTAGAAGGCTGCTTCTGTTTCTGGTCTGTGCCTCTGCCTCAGATTCCAACTTTCCCTTCTGTAGGTAGTCTGAAGGAGCTGATCTGGTGTGCTACTTGATGCTTCCCCCTTGCCTCCTCTGAAACCTCTCCTCCTGCTGTTTTTAGGGATTGCCCTGTCTGCAGAACAGTGGAACCAGATGAAGGAGATCATTCCTGAGATCGATGCTGCAGTCAAGAAACTATAAGATGAAGAATCTTGGATACTTTCATTCTGTTTCCTTCCCCTTAAGTGCACTGACAACTATAAAGCTAAGGATTCTCATCTGGAGCCTTCCGCTCACCTTGCTAGGGTTTCTGACATGGTCATGCTGAAAAGACCAGAGACTCTTCTATTTTCAGGAAGTACCTTGTGATGAGAACCTGTAACTAGAGCCAGTTCTGTGAAGTGAGACTTCAGCATCTCTGGTCTCAAGCAGACTTGAGGTCTGTGCTGCTGAGAGACATGACCCCAACCTGGCTTTCCAGGGGTGGATGACTTCAGTCTACCTTGTGGAGTGCTTTAACTGCTCCACATCTGTTGCTGTTTTCCACTTGGTTGACTGTTGAGTATGATGGTTTGTATACCTCATCTTGGCATGCTCTGTGTTTCCTCCGCATGTCATTCTGGCTATATCAGGTACTTTCTGTGTTGGTGAGGGTTGTTTGGTGTTTTTTTAGGGTGCGTTTGTTTTTTGGTTTTGGGTTTTTTTTTGAGTGAGGAAAGAGATTATTATACTTTAGCAACAGGTTTGTCTGTAGAGGGTGAATATGCACAATAAATGTGTTTGCATTATGAAAAGGAGAGGCATAGTGTTTCACAGGCTGGCACCTCAACTCTTTATTTCAGGCACCCTTCTTTCTACGTTGCTGTTGGATTTCCCTTTCAGAAGGAGAGTGCTCTGTAGTGTTTATTCTCATATGTTCCAAATAATCCTGCTATACAGAAGCAGTCAGACAGCAGTCTACTCCAGGTCATGGGAAGGGCAAGCTAGAATGTGAATCATTCAAAGGAACTGGTAATTAGGAGGCCTATTAAATAGAGGGGAAATTAAAGGCCTAAGGAGGCAAAAGAATATTTCTTTGCCTTTGGCAGAGAAAAAAGGCA